GATGTCAATTCAGTGAGACTGAAGTTTTCCTAGGACAGTCATACTTTAAGACCCATGCAAAAAGGGCTGGATAACGATGTTGGGAAGAAGTGACTGCATAGTTTCTATTTAAACACAGAAGTTGTAGCTGTTCCCCATCCCTGGGGAAATATGGAACCCACGCAAAGTGGCAAAGCGCAGAATCGCGTTTCCCAGCTGAACTAATAAGCCCACAACTGGTCAGCGCTGTCCCAGATGACATCACGTTTTTCTCAAGTTAGCCATGTCAACCTGAGCCTCCCCAGCTCTGGCCTGCACAGCATGGAGCCAGCAGAGCAGCTGCCTATTAAGAGGATAATGAGCAGATACAAAGTAGTCACATAACTTGGCTCTTCTGCTTTACTGGCTCTGTCCTTCTCAAGAACTGTGAATGGTTTTTTGAAGCTATTAATTTCACACATACAAACAAATGTCACTTCACATCAGTTCAGAGAACTGACCTATGTAATGACATGGTTCCACAGCTCTCCCTTCCTCTGACCACCTCTGGTTATACCCCTTCTGTCAAGCTGTCCAATGAGACTTGCATTTAGCTACGCATGGCTTTTTTAGGAAGATAAATCTGGCAAGTTGTCTGTTCATTGCATGTTCCTGTTTAAAAACCCTTAACTGGTTCCCCATTGTTTATCTGCAATAGGATAAAGTCCAAATACCTTTGCATGACACTGCATTCATCACAAAGCAGACCACTGCCTTCCCTTTCTTCCCCTGCCCATTATTTTGACATGCTGATATATGGCTGTACCGCTTCTGCAGCTCTGTTCTGTTGCACTGTTGCAAAGTCATTGCCTTTCAGATCTGTAGGTTGTAAGTCCAACAGGGGTCATAATTGCCTAATCAAGGAGCTGGCATGGCTGTGTTCTTTCTAGAAGCTCTAGGGGAACATGGTTTCATTGTCTTTGCAACTTCTCAAGGCTGCATGCCTTGGTTTGTTCCCCCGTCCATTTCAGCGTGGTCAGCTGAGTCTTTCTCACTTGGCTTCATGCTGATACGGACTTCTGCTTCCCTCTTTCCTTCACAAGGGCTCTTGTGTTACACTGGGCCAGAGGATAATCCCAAGGAATCTCTCTCAAGATCCTCATCTACAACTCCTAATATGGACATTTCTGCAGGGTCCTTATTGTTAGCACCATCACAGTGTTCCCTCTGCCTGGGGAGTCCACTTCTCTGCTTAGAAGCCACTCAATTCTTCAACATTCTTTAAGCTCCCATGCATATGTCAGTATTTTCAGGCCTACCCCTCCATCTCCTGCTTAAGGGACCCCTTCTTCTCTGCTTCCCCAAGGTCATGTACATACATCTCTCCTGGAGGACTTACTATGGCCTGTAGTTTATTTGTCCTCAACATGTCCCTCTGATTAGATTGTGACTCATTATGTCTTAGTCACTTTTACAGCCTCTGGGGCCTAACTATAAAAGATTGTGGGAAAGAAAAATGAATGTTATATTTTAATGAGTAAAAATGGGGGTTGTGGGATAGAAGCATGAACAATAAATTCATGCTACTTCTATTTGGAATATAACTTAGGAACCAGTTCAGACAGCTCTTAACTGGATATTATTGTATAATAGACCAAATCTCTTTAATCCTTTAACTATTCCAGGAAGGTAAGATAGCAAATTTAAAATGAACCATTTGCTTCTGAGGCTATTTCTAACATTAATGAGATTCACCATTTCATAGACTGTTGCCCAGTTTCCTGGGCTTGGCTAAGAAAAGGGCAGGCTGCACCCCAAGTACTTGGCTTGATGTTTGATTAGGCAGGTGATATTATCTGTACTATTTCTAAATTCAGAAAAAGACACTCATCTAACAAATCTGATGGGCTGCCTTAGAGGTTAAATCAACTTTGTCACAGTATGTATCTAGAATTTCAGCATCTGGAAGTTCTTGGGTTAAAAAGAAAAGTAGAAAAGTTCACATCAAGCCAAGTTTAAATAGCCTCCAGTATTTGAATTGCACAGTCAAAGAGTTGAATAAATTATGGTCACATGAATGGGGAAGCTCTATTTTTAAAGGCAATAGTTTTCTATGAATATCTAATGTCATGCAATATAGAAATCTAAAGGCACGCAATAAAACTAACAATTACATGCTCAGCAGTTGAGCTGTAAGAACGCACAGGTACAAAAGGAAGGTTATTGCCTGCTTCCTAATCTGAATACAAGGTATACTGTTGCTACTTTTTCTTCCTTAGCAATAATAACCCCCTTCTTCAATAGTTTTGTTACTTTAGATTAGGAGAAAGTGTTCTTCAGGATTTAAATATACCTTTTGTTAAGTGTCATGATCTTTTCTAATACTCTCCTGCAGCACTAGAAATAGGATATTTAGGTCCAGAAGGTAGCCTATCCATCTACACTCAAGCTCACATTCTCAAAGGGAAATTAAGGCCTCCCTTCTTCCTCTAGGTCAAGATGAACTCAAGGTTTCGGGGAAACCGTGCTGATTTCCACTGAGGGCTGCAGCCGGAGAATACAGAGCCAGCTGACTAAGACAGCGGGGCATAGAGATGCACCTTCATGCTAGGTGTAAACTTGGGGCATTTTTATAGAATCACAATTTCTCAATATCTGTGTTGGGTTTCCACAAATGGCCACACTTTTCTGTAAAAGTACTTAGAAATGCATTTAGGAGCAATGAATGCCACCAACCAAACTATTTGGCTAAAACAGGGACCGTAGGTTTATTTTATAGACACTGTAAACATGCTGATGATGTTGTCATCCAGACATTTCAAGTCTTCCTCAGTAAATCTCAGTTACATACAAGCATAGCACTTGGGAAAAATCATCCCTGGTATTTGGAATGAGAGCTGGAGCCCTTTCCGGCAAGAACAAACGTTCAGAGCTATTCACAACCCAATGAAAAGTCAATGCACCTGAAATACTATTAAGGGCTATCCAGAAGGCAAGAAATTTGGTAATGAGGTTGATAAATAAAATAACTGAATCCACTAAGTTGTACTTGTAGAAACAAGCTTGGGCATTTTGCTTTAGTAAGAGGTAGAACTAGTTTTCCCCAGAACAAGGACTGTTTACTTTGCTTCTACAGGGTCCAATAATCCTAAAAGTAGTGATAGTACTAAATATTCTTAAGAGAACAGATAGTAGAAGCCACAGTGGGACCAAGAAACTGCATTTTCTGTAAAAGTAAAATGCCAGTAAAACACCATTCTAAGTTACTTTTCTGGAAATAAATCTTCTATGTTGCATTTACCCTGTACAATTTTACTATATCAGCATAGTAGCAACTGAAAAAAAATGTGTTTCATGTAGAAACAAAAGTGAGAAACTTTACAAAAAACATCGTGGCTCAGCAACAGCAAGGCTAGGTTTCCAAGTTTTGAATATAAAGCTAAGAAAGCACAAAACAAAGACTGCTACAGTAACCAAACTTTTGTTAACAAGTATCCTTAAAAACAAAGGCAGTTCAACTACAGCGGATTATTTTCTACAGCGTGAGCAGATAATGGACCTGCAAACCCTCTTTCTTTTTCTTCTGCTAGGTTGCTGCTTATAAATTCTGCAACTTGCATGCTCAAGTTTTGGGGTGACTTATTTATTTATTGGAGGGAGGGAAGGCTGGCTTCCCTCCCTGTAATGGTTGAGCTTAAAATAAATGGGCCTTGCAATTACTTTGTTTTTTAAACCTATGAAGCACGTTTCCTCATTTCACACCATGAAGCAATTCGATGCCAACTTGCTATGGAGTCAAATGCGACAAACTCCAACAGCTTCAGTCGCGAGGCGGCGGCTCGCGGCACGTACAGCTTCTCGCACCCCTTGAAGCATCCGGACGCGGGGCTCTACCGGCTACGAACGCGGAACCCGCACCCCGGGCCTTGGGGGCCCGGGACAGTACACCCTCCCTCAATCCGGGGAAAGTGAAGCACGGGGATCCCAGCGATCTGGAGTCCGGCGATGGCCACCGCGGCGGCTTGGCGTCTGCTTCCCCCGGATCCCCGGAGGCTTTCTCGGCAGCGCGGCAGACACAGCGCTCCTCGCCGCAGGAAGGTTAAAGCACAAGCCCGAGACGTGGCAGACCCCAAGCCCCAAGGACCTGGAAGCATCCTGGAAGCATCCCAGGAGCCCACTGCCGGGACCCCACGGCGCCTCCCAGCGCGCAGCCTCCGCCACGGACGCCGCCAGCCCAAGCGCCCGAAAGTTCCGCGGCCGCCCAGCCCGTGCGGGGCTCC